TTATACTAACACCTAAGTCGCATAGAGCTTTGCCTATGACATACTTACCTATATTACAGGGTATGGAGAAACTTCTGGGATCCTTCAACTTCTGAGGCATTTTCTTTTGAATGATTGCGCTACACTCAGCAGTGAGTGTAATTCTCTTATTATCCTCTATATTTTTCTTGTTTGACAAGATTTCTTTGAGAAACTTAGCGTACGAGGGCATTTGAGTGATAGCTTCTGTGAATGGTATCGTGATGTTTAATTGTTTCAGAAGTTCAACAAATTTCTTAAACTGCCTTGCACTTCTAGATTGAGCAAGTCTTTGAGGATACGTGATCGGTGGTTTGTAAGGAGGTGGAGGTACATAAGGTTTTTCCTTTTCTTATGTCTCCCCATCATCTACCTTCTTCTTATCTTTTGGTTCGTTATCCTCCTTGGTCGCTTTTCTATAACTTTGGGACATGGCTGGGTTTTCAGCTCTAGGGTCAATTGGTCCATCGTATTCAGTTCCACTTTGCAATATAATAGCGTGAGCATGTCCTTTTGGATTTGGTTAAGGTTAACCTGGAAAGGTACCAGCAGGTGCAGCAGTAGGTGCTTGTTGTTGAGCTACTTGCGAAATATGGGTTTCAAGCATTTTGTTATGAGTGGCTAAAGCATCTACTTTATTCACTAATTGTTTGATTTGCTCACTAGTGTGAATATTTTGGTTTAGAAATTCCTTGTTAGTTTGAGCTTGGGAAGCTATAAAATTTTCCATCAGAAGTTCGAGGTTAGACTTCCTAGGTATGTTAGGAGCAGCTGCAGGTGCCTTTTGATACCCTGGTGGTACAGCAGGTGCTTGGCCAAGTGCATACAACGCATTGGTGTTCTTATATGAGAAATTCATATGATTTTTCCATCCAGGGTTGTAAGTGTTTGAGTAAGGGTTTCCTTGAGCATAATTTACTTGGTCGGGGGGAGGGGGGTCCCTGCTAAGATTTGGCATTCAGCAGAGGCATGCCCAGGTACTCTGCATATCTCGTAATTCGGAGTTATAGCAACCACGGTGGCTGGAGGCACTGCGGTTAAACTATCTATCTTCTGGGTGAGGGCGTCTACCTTAGCATGGACGCTATCAAGACTGCTGATCTCGTACATACCGCCTTTTGTCGGTGCTTTCTCTATGGGAGCTTTGTCTGCTTGACCTCTTTCACTCCCCCACTGATAGTGGTTTTGAGCCATACTTTCTATGAGAGCATAAGCGATGTGGATAGAGCGTCAGCATGTATTTGTATCTTTCCCAAGCGTCGAAAAGAGACTCGCTGTCTTTTTGTCGAAAATCGCTTATTTGGGATCTTAGCATAGCTGTCTTACTTGGTGGGAAATATGTTGCAAGAAAAAGTTTCTTCAACTCATCCCAAGAGGTAACTGAGTTAGCTGGTAGAGACTGGAGCCAAGCTCGGGCTCTGTCTCTTAGGGAAAAAGGGAAAAGACGGAGTCTTATCGCTTCTTGACTGACTCCATTGTTCTTAATTGTATTTGCGTATTGTAGAAACATCGACAAATGTAGATTAGGGTCGTCCATTGACCCTCCAGAAAACTGGTTTTGTTGTACAACAGATAACAGGAAAGGTTTGAGTTCGAATTTATTAGTCTCGATCGGAGGAGCAGTAATGCTATTATGTGGTTCTTCCTGCGAAGGAATAACATAAGATTTGAGCGGACGAGGCTGTTCACCCATGTTTGGTTCTTCAACTGATTCAGCAGGAATAGAAGATTGAGAGAGGGAATTGTTCATACGAGATACTCGTACGTGGCATCTCCTAGTAATAGAGCGCTCAGGTTCGGAAATTGGTAGCACTAAGCCTTCACTCCTAGAGCGAGTGTTTGGCATACAATTGGGGATGGTGCCTTAGTCTCTACAGCGTAACTAAAAGAGTTACGATATGAACTTGTTAGTCCCCGGCAACGACGCCAAAAATTTGATCGCGACTTTGTGAGTCTTAAAGAATCTAGACCGCAAGTATACAGTCCTATCGCGTGTAGCTTTAAATATTATCGAATCCCAAGGGACTAAATGTCGAACTACCGTTATCTTAGGTTACTACGTAAATCTAAGGCTAATAATATAATTAATTGGGGTTTGGGAACCTAACTGATTAATATCTAGTTTAGATTCAAGGGGGGATATCGGTATGTAATGGTCGGACTTCGGGGATTTAGCAACTCGATGACCAAATTCAGATTAATAAAATAGCTCTCAATATGAGGTATTTGTTTGAAAACTCTCTTCTCACACTCTCGTGTTTATTGATTCAGATCCTACTATCAAACCTAAGTGAGTGCTCTCGCTATTTCAAATAGAGTTTAAAAATAGTTTTTGAAAACAAATAAAACCTAATCAACTTAAAAGCGCTCTCGTTGTATTTTAAGTTAATGCCCAATCATCATTATCCAGTTATTATCTCAAACTCTCATTTTATTGATCCTAACTTCTATCTGTATTTTACTCTCGTAACAAAACAGTTGGTTTTTAGAATTGATAATTGAAACCAGAAAAAGTTATTCTTCTAAAAAGGAACTGATCAATCGGAGTTGCCAAAATCCCTTCAGCTATGTGACCTTACATACCGATAAATAAATTTAGCCTAGCATGTTAAACATTTTAATAACAACGCAACATAAATAATTATCATCAAACAATCTAAATAAACATAACATTTCGAACAATCTTGACATAGATAAATAAAATACTTAAATTAAACCTGAAAATAATATGGTGGAATATTTGGCTCACTTCAGGTGTCTCGCAGAGATTGATGAAAAATAACAAGCGGAAATAAATAATGCGGAGAATATTTTTGGCAGAGTAACACTAAAATTAAAGAGAAGAAAAACATATTCAAAAAGGAAAAAACTCTTTCGAACAGGAATTATGAGGCATTATTTATAGGCCTGGAGGCGCGTGGGAGTTGAGATATTTTCTCCTCCCACTTGCCCAGCGTAACGGTCGTTACGCTCCTCTCTTCAAGGAGGACTAAGCGGTCGTCATGACCTATTAACAAGGGAAGGCTGCAACGGTCGTTGTAGCCCAATTTTGTAGGAAGGGCTTAGCTGGCAAGGGTGTAACGGTCGTTACACCTAGGCAAGGGGAGTGTAACGGTCGTTACACTTTGGGCTTGGGGAAATTTGGGCCTTCCTTCATTTATTCTTCAGGGCCTTTTTACTTGTGATACGCCTTGTTTTGTCATACACCCCATAGCTTCATAATTGTTCACTCTTTATGTGGATTTAAGCATGATTGGCACGACTTTTCCCGATTTTCTTCGCATGTGTCTTATAACATCAAATTCCTGAAAACATAGAAAATACCGGCATAATACGAATAAAGAATAATAAAGGTAATTAAAATGCGAATAAAATTCATATAAATTAACCTAAATATTCGATATATTTCTGGGTTATCAACTGGGCCTGCCCTTGGCCCAACTACTAGTGAGGCTCAATCCAAGCTTGCCAACCTGTTGCGCTGAGCAGTATTTCCATCGAGCATACCCCGGCCACAGATGTCTTGTCGACCAAGATCGCTTCCCGACGGTGCTCGCAGAGACCATCCCCAATGAGCACGCGGTCCTCCCGAGCACCTTCCTCGTAGGGCTGACTTCCAACCTCTCCGAATTTCGCGAAGTCTTCATGGTCCCGGAAAGATCGCGTTCCTATCCTCCCTGTCTTGTGGAGGACGTTATCCAGGTAGGGGGCCACGTGCGGGTCTCCACTACACACGTAGAACCTGACAGTCTCTTTGTTGGGCCTGTTTGACCAGCCCAATAAAGAGATATTGGCCCAACGCTGGAGGCTATAAATACCCTCTCTTTTGAGAGGGTCATGTATTCAACTCTTATCTCAGAACTCTTACTTGCTTGCTCATTCCGCTTCTTACTTTGCCATCAGAGTGTCTTACAGGTATCTTCCATCTCACTTAACTTCTGCCCGAATCAACTGTGACGGTTCATCTCTGATCAAATAAGATCAATTATATTATTAGATAAAATTATTATTATTCAATTAAATTTAATCTGTAGTCATTTGTCCAAGCACCGTCACCATTGAGCTAAACAACTCCATTTGATAATATCTTCCACAAAATTTATATATTGTATGATTTGATTGCGATAGTCCTTATTTTATTTAAATACGTCTTTATGTTTTATTTAAAATAAGAACATAATTATATAAATATTTATTTATTTAAAAGAATACATAAATAAATATTTATATATTTCATATAATCCATATAAATATTTACTTATTTAAGATAATATAAAAATATATATTTATTTATTTAAAATAAAATATTAATAAAAATTGATAAAATTGATACGGAAATACAATTTGAGGTTAATGATAAAGATTTCAATTGAGATGAAATTGATGTTATATGATTATTAAAACTGAATTGAAATAATAAATATCAATTATGAAGTGGTGTAATAATAATTTACTATTACTTATAAATTATATGATATGAGTAAAATATTAATAACTTTAAATATAAATGTGTTTTAAATGACGTACCATGTCTATAAAAATAAGGTAGATTTTTTTCAACAATGAAAGGATTATCTTAAAACTTTTTAAAGATAAAGGATTAAAAAAAAAAAGTATATTTTACCGAAAAAAGAAGAAAAAAAAAGTAAAAAGTAAAAAGTAACACGGTGCCAAAATCCCATTCTGACCTAAGAGATAAGACTTGTGTGGTGGTGTAAAAATGAGATATTTTAGAATTCATTTAACAAGCATAGAGAATCTCAAATATAGAAAACGTTTGACACGTTGTAACGTTATAACGTTATAAGATATATTATTTTATTTGGTTATTACTTTTTGCATGATTATAAAAACACCTTTACCAACTCCAACTCACACAGACTTTCCTCACTCACTTGGTTAGTTTATTTATCATGAATGTGTTTTTCTTATGCTCTTTTCTTGCTTTCTTTAACTCCTTTACCTTCTCTTGTTGCAGATCAATGGCTGACATTGACTGGCCAAAGAATGATAACCGTCGATTTCTTCATGTTGTTTACCGTGTCGGTGACCTTGATCGCGCCATCAAGTAATTATTCTACTTTTTTTTTTAATTGCATGTTTAAATTAATTAATTCAAATACCCTAATTTCTCGGATGATTATCGTTTTTTCTTAGGTTTTATACTCAAGCTCTTGGAATGAAGCTTTTGAGACAAAGAGATGTTCCAGATGAGAAATATGCTAACGCTTTTGTTGGATTTGGCGATGAAAAATCACATTTTTCTATTGAATTAACATATAGTATGCTTTTCTACTACTAAACACCCCGTTTAATTCATTTATATAAAACAAATTATTTTGAATCTGGACCGTTGGATCTTAATGAGATGTCAGATCTGAACATTTAGCAACATTTAAGAATTTGATAACACCAAAATCATATTTATCCCGTTAAATAATTCAGTTGTTAGTTATATAGAGACATCAGATATATGTCAATTTGATTTGGGTGTGGATTTGCTCCAATCCATGCATTCATGTTTATCAACACGATGTTGACTATTGGATCCAACGATCCAGATTTCTAGTTTGGTATTTCATTTAAATTTTTTTAAATATGTATTGAATTCTAGACTATTAGATCTGGATCCCACGGTCACGTTTATGTGAATGTGTACAGTTTGGTACAATGATTACATTCATTAAATAGTAAATGTATCTGGTCTATATATAGTCCATATACATTGATTATTTAATTAATTTGAAAAATAATTTTTTTTGTACAAGATGAATTTATGTTTTTTCAATTCTTCTAACTATTTAATTATATTATCTAATTGTTAGATTATGGAGTGAGTTCTTATGATGTTGGAAATGGCTTTGGACATTTTGGAATTGCAACACAAGATGTAAGACAACTAGACAAGAGTGTTCTAATTCTGAATTCAAAAAAGCTTGATCATGTATTATTAAATTTTGATTTGTGAAGAGAATGAAAATTGTGACATTGATTGAATTTTTTAGGTTTACAAATTGGTTGAGCACATTCGGGCTTTTGGTGGAAACATCACTAGGGAGGCTGGTCCAGTTCAGGGCGGAACAACTGTTATCGCCTTTGTGAAGGATCCTGATGGCTACACTTTTGCACTCATCCAAAGATCTGTAATTGTTGATCCTTTTGCTCATATCACGCTCCGCGTTGGTGATTTAGAACGCGCCATAAAGTTTTATGAAAAGGTAAGGATCCAACACATGTTGCAGTTGTATGTTTCTGGTTTCTGTTTGATGCAATACTGCACAAGTATTCTTTTGTGTGCGTCAAGAATCTTGACGCGTTGTGATTTGAATGTACATTACTAAATGCGGTTTATTAACTGAGGCTATGTTCTTATTGGATCATATTTGCATAGGCTTTGGGCTTGAAGGTGGTGAGGAAGAATGATAATCCTGAGAGCAAGGTGAAGTTTCCTCTAACGAGATATGAATACATCAGATTTTAAGAATCACAGGACACGACATAACTATAATATATAACATAATAATCTAAAACGTATATATGTTGCATCTCCTACAGTACACTGTTGCTGTACTTGGGTATAAAGGGGAGGAAGAGTCAACTGTGTTGGAGTTGACATATAACTACGGTGTCACCGAGTACTCTAAGGGAAATGCTTATGCGCAGGTTAGTCGATAGTTAAATTATACGATGTTCTTGAGGCCTAAACTAGTTTTTTGTATAACCTTTGAATTTGTTTCATCTATCTATAACAGATTGCAATTGGTACCGATGATGTATACAAAAGTGCTGAGGTATTAACCCTAGTCACGCAAGAACTTGGAGGGAAGATCACTCGGCAAGCAGGACCGCTTCCCGGCCTTAACACGAAAATTGTTTCATTTCTTGACCCAGATGGATGGAAAACTGTAAGTTAATTTCCCCCCTTTGTTTATATTGTGTGGGAGGATTCAAAACTGTTGCGTACTTTGCTGCCGTAATAACTACAGCATGATTATTTTTTTATATAGGTGTTGGTTGACAATGAGGATTTACTGAGGGAGCTGGAGCAGGAGTGAAAGAGAGGGCTAACTAGAAATAATAAGTAACAGTCCTAGGTAGTGGCACTAGGCTAATGCTTTTTTTATGAATAAATAGTACTCTCTGCAGTAATTGATTGGTTTTCTTTCATGTGGTTCTGTAATGTATTTTAATGCACACTTGAGATCTCATTTTCCATGCTATCTACTATTATCAATCTTCTGATTTATCCAATCCCAATTTGGAGGAATGAGACAAAAGCATCTGTTCATTACCTCTTTCTTTGTTGGGGAGTTTGGAGTAGTATTCAAGTGCTCCATTGTTAAGGTTTTTGGACGGTTGACATATAAATGTGCGCGTGTGTGACTGTGACTGTGACTGTGACTGTGACTGTGACTGTGTATATCAAATTGCATTTAACCACATCATCTCACAAATACTTCATGTGGCAAATATCGTTTAACTATGAATTTTTTTTCCAATATGCCACATTTCTGGGTCTTCCACCAGATGAAATGGCATATGAGGTCATTTGTTTTTCAGCTAGGTGACCTCACCATATCAAATGGGGTAATATTATTTATTTATTTTTCGTTTTTTTAATTATGATATTAATTTTAAATAGGTTTTTTATTATGTTAATTCAATTGTTAATTTAAAATAGTTAAAAATGAATTGAAATTATTTTTAAATAATAAAAAATAAAATAAAAATTTTAAACTAAAAATCAAATTAATAATTAAAAAAGTAGTATTAAACATAATTATAAATAATAATATTTATACAACTTACTATTTATAGCAGGCAAATAAATCGTAACTAGTTAGAAGGACGTGCAACGTTGAACCAATGCAGATATTTTTTGTGCATATGAGTTTGTTGATATATTTCACACCGTCTTTTTTTCCTCAACAGTGTCCATTTCAGTTTTAATGCGAGTACTATTTGGGCAATTTTTTTTTTTTTGTTTCGTCGCATCCTTTCATTATTCAAAATAGTATTGCCTTGATATTGAGGTCATCTATCTTCTTTGGGTACACTAATGAAGTTCTTTTCATAAATTTTGAAGACATTTAAAACTCTATACACATGAGGGATAAACACAGAATAATCGTGTCGGATGTGAGAACAAGCTGCAATAGCATGTGAGTAAGACACATGAAAAGTTTGAAATTTCTCAATCACATCTTTGTTTTTGGAGGTCGATGTTGAAATCACCAAGTGACCGACACTCGTTATTATTAGCAGTCATTTGAACATCGAAATAAAGGTTTTCACGATCAAAATCCAATACATTATAACTGTGGGATTTTTCTACTTCTTTTGTAATCTCTTTCATGCAGTTATCTGTGAATTCCTTCTCCGATGATAATATTTTTGTCCAATCATGTTCTCGCTTTCCAAACAATGTTTCCATTCTATAGTATGTTGATCTTACTAGTGTTGTAATAGGTAAATTGCGGGTTTTCTTCAGCGCCAAGTTCATTGATTCAACAAAGTTGGTTGTCATGTAGCCCCATTGTTTTCCTCCGTCGTAAGCTCGCGACCATTTTTCTTTTGGAAGATTATCTACCCAGCTTAAAGCTTCCATGTTTGTTTGGAGGATATCCTCCCGATAGTATGCGTATGTAGACTCATTCAACACATATCCTTTATATGCATAATTAAAAACATTAGTATAAAAAAATATGAGTTTAAAAGTTGAAGAGCTTGTAATAGTAAAAAAATAGAGAAAGAATTAGCCATGTTAACAACTTTCTTGCGAAGGTCTTTGTCATTGATCACTCGCATAAAGTTGTGTGATGTGCCTGATGCAATACACGTGTACTGATGGAGGGTACTGCCAGCCATTGTTTGGATTGTTGTATGCAATCTTCATGAACTCATGTCGGTCAGATATCAAACATAGATCGGACTGGGGTGTGACGTGGAGTCTCAAAATTTTCAGAAAGAAACTTGAAGTCTCTCATGTCTCACCTTCAACCAATGCAAAGGCGATTGGAAAAATGTTACCCTTCTCATCTTAGTGGTGTATCAATAACCTTGACTATCAAAACACCCCGCACCACCATCTCCAAGGATACCGATTCAGGATTGATCACATGCAGCCACATCAGGTTTTTATTCCTCACTTTACTAGTTCATATATATATATTTTAATTCAATTTGGTTACACTAACAAATTTCATCTATAACTTGTCACTTTATTTGGAAGTCGTATCTAGGATTTGAGCCACAACGGCATGCGGATAACTTGATTTAGAGTTCAACAACATATATCATTTGTTTCTATATTATTGAAATGCATAATCTGATAGGATAAAACTGCAATTTGGCCATTTACAAGAAATACCCAACAAACCTCAATGCCTCCGAGAACACCATAGAATGACCATAATCTAATCGCGTCACTACGTATATACCTAACTTTACAGCGACGAGCAACATTGTTGGTTGCATCGAGAAATCTTTATGTTGGTAGGAAATCAATTACAAGAAGAAACTAGACCATCAACAGAGCACATGCAATGGTATAAATCACTTCTATTTAGATACGTGGACAATTTCTCATTGACCCGGTCAACATCAGTATGCCCCCAACATGACAAGTGGATCTCAATAAAATTATCAAACCTTCCAACAACAACCTCATTACTCACATAATTCCCAAAGTCTTAATCACCAACCTTTCCAACAAAAAAACTCCTAACCCCCACTATTTCCAATAACAAACTCATACCTCCTACATTTACCAACAACAAACTTCTAAACCCCTAATACACCCCATCCCACTTTCAATCAAATTATAACTACAAAATACAACACCAATAAATATACACTCATCCAACCATGCATTTTACACCAGTCCCGCCATCAAACTTTGATTTCCCCTACACCCAAAATAACCCTTCAACCTCTAACATTCAACCACCCACCACCAATTATATTACAACCATGTGTCAGTGAGAACAAACACATACACACAATCCACTTATCAATTTTGACTTAGATCTTAATGTCAATAATTACGGTTTAACAAATATTATTTGGTCTCCTCCTCCGCCTCCGCCTCCAACACAAGAAACACAAGACTATCCTCCGTCTCCAGCTCCAACACAAGACTATCATCTGCCGTTAGCTCCAACACATCAAACACAACAATATGATTATTTTTTTCGTATCCCAAAACATCATAATTGTAGTATCAATGTTTTTTTGGGTCCTCATTAATTTTTGTTTTCTTCGTATGTATGAACTTATTCAAATGACTATTAATGTAACAACATTATTATTTATAATTAAATTTATTTTTAAATATTATAAATTAATAATTAAATTAACATAATAAAAAATTATTTAAAATTAATATCAGAATTAAAAAAACAAAAAAATGTTACGCCATTTGATATAGCGGAAGTCACCTAGCTAAAAAACAAATGGGCCCCTTACGCCATTTCATCTGGCGGAAGACCCCAAAAATGTGGCACCCTGAGAAAATGTTTTTCAACCGTGACATTTTGGGAAATAATTTTGGGTGTGTGGCAGTTTGAGAAAAAAATCTTTAACTATATCATTTGTTGGACAAGAAAATACATATCTATATACAATTCTATTATGAAATATTCTGCATATTCTAACTCTGATATGATAACATGTTTACAAGTATTTCAAGAGTTTCTAATGTCAAACTTTCACATGATTGTTTATTGCTCACTCACTCGGATTGGTTCTATTTAATAACATCAATAGAAAATACAATAGAACTTGAGAAAATATTTTTTGTTGCACAAAATAACGACTATGATAAGATAACATGTTTACAAGTAATTCAAGAGCTTCTATTGTCAAACTTTCACATGATTGTTTATCGATCACTCACTCTGATTGGTTATGTTTAATAATATCAAGAACAAATACAACAGAACTTAAGAAGATATTTTCCGATGTACAAAATAACAACTATGATAAGATAACATGTTTACAGATAAGTCAAAAGCTTTTATTTCCAAATTTTTACATATTGGTTCTGTTTAATAATATCAGGAGAAAATGTAACATAACTTGAGAATATATTTTATGATGTACAAAATAACGACTTTGATAAGATAACATGTTCACAAGTAAATCAAGAGCTTTTATTGCCAAACTTCCACATGATTGTTTATTGCTCACTCACTCATATTGATTTTGTTTAATAATATTAAGAGCAAATGAAACAAAACTTGAGAAATTATTTTCTGATGCATAAAATAACGAAAATGATAAGATAACATGTTTACAAGTGATTCAAGAGCTTCTATTGTCAAACTTTCACGTGATAGTTTATTGTTCACTCACTTTGATTGGTTTTGTTTAATAATATCAAGAGCAAATATAACATAATTTGAGAAGATATTTTAAGATGTACAAAATAACAACTCTGATAAGATAACATGTTTACAAGTAATTCAAAAGCTTTTATTGCCAAACTCTCACTTTATAGTTTATTACACACTCACTCTGATTGGTTCTATTTACATCAAGAGCAAATACAACAAAACTTGGGAGGATACTTTTTGATACACAAAATAACGAATCTGATAAGATAACATGTTTACAAGTCATTCAAGAGCTTTTATTGTCAAACTTTCACATGATTGTTTATTGCTCACTCACTCCAATTGGTTTTGTTTAATAATACCAAGAGCAAATATTGTTGAGAATGTAATTCCTTGTGTCGAAGCATGTTGCTCGATATAAATAAGGTTGTATCAAAAATAGTCTAGAGTGTATGTGTCGAACTGTCGAAAGAGTTTCCTCGATAGAATTTCGACATAGGCCTAGTTTTGTAGTTAACAGAGTTATGTATTTTAGACTTTTGTATTTTGGGCTTTGCTTAGGGAGCAAGATCAACTATAAATAGGAAGTAACCCCTATTGTTGTATTCACTTCTTGCAGTTGCAAATAATATTCATAGTTTGTGAGTAAAGAGGAGCTATGCATAAATTCTTATTCTTCCCCTATTTTTTTGTTAAACCCTAATTCATCTTTTCTTTCTTCTCCATTGTTAATTGTTGCGCAGAATCATCTTGCAACAAAGGTTGGATACGAAACCTTTCTTCTTCACCATAAAGTTGGAGAATAAGAAAATGTCTCTCGTCATATGCCTCGAGTATCCACTATCGAGAATCCATCTTCCTCCATAGAGCCAATACATTTAACCTACAAGATCAAACAAAGGTGATAGGTACCCAATTTTTATTGGGTCCTTGAGAGTGAGTGAAATCATGTTTGCATTTGGGAAACCATTGAAAAACACCTTTAGGAACCAAAAAGCTCCTAAATTTGAATTTTTAAATAGTGTGATCTTTCTCGAAACAATAGAGACAAGTCAAATTATGAAGAATTTTACTTTTACTATTTGGATCCTTTTTAA